ACCAGTGATGGAAGAATGTTTGACATCCGGCCAAGATTTTGTGTTTCAGCAAGATGGTGCAGCGTGCCATACCTCAAAAAAGGCTATAAAATGGATGGAAGAAAATAATGTACCACTTTTGAAATGGGTTTCTAGCAGTCCAGATCTGTCACCTATTGAAGCTTTGTGGCACGAGATGAAAAAGGTTCTACGACAACATCCTGCTCGTACAATCACCGAACTGAGACAAAAGCTTCAAGAAATATGGGATTGTTTTACACCAAATTTTTGCCAAAACTTGGTTAACACTATGCCCCAAAGAATTTCAGCCGTAATAAAAAATAGAGGTGATGTTACCCAATGGTAATCTTTCAATTGTTGCTTTGTTAACTTCGCACATTAATTCGCACATTGCTTATTTGTTCAGATGTTCTATTAGTTATAGGTCTAAGGCCCGTATCGGCAGTCGTCCCTACAATTGTAGGGCGCCTTTATGGCCTCCTTGATTGTCATAGTTTTCTACTTCTCCCTGTCAGCGCTCTATTTTGAGGTTATCTCACAAACATCTATTTGCATCAAATTGTGCTTGCGTTTGAGTTATATCATGTTTTATCAGCCTGAAATTTCCTACAATTTAAAAAGAAAACATATCCTCACAATAGGTGAGCGCTGACGCTGACACGGGACAAGTGTAATCTAGAAATTTTCGAAGGAGAGAAAGGAGTATGACAATCAAGGAGGCCATAAACGCGCCCTACAATTATTGTAGGGACGACTGACGATACGGGCCTAAGTGATTTCAAATATGTTTTTTCACGACTAGAGTGTATGTAAAATCTTTTTGAGAAAATAAATTGTATTAGAAGTAAATAGTTTCGTCATGTTTAGTTGATAATGGCATATTTTGGTACAAATCTTGAAGTGGGCCAACTGAAGTGGGAAGGTTCTCGTATATTTCAAATGACCCAATAGTAAAAAGTCTAATTTCGTCAAATCAGGAGATCTAGCAGACCATTCTATAGGACCCTCTTAGCTCTATCCATTTATCTGGAAACTCGACGTCTAGCCATCCTCTTCGATTTGGTTTTCAATGGTTTCAGTGACATGGGGATTGATGGTATTTTCCAACATATCCAAATAAATGTCTCCATTCAAATTTCCATTCATGAAAAATGGCCCACTCACTTTGTTTCCTGAAATTCCTGCCCATACATTAAATTTTTGAGGGTACTGGGTATGCCCTTCTACAAAAGCATGACAATTTTCATTGCTCCAATACCTGCAGTTATGCTTACCAACAAATCCTCTTACCTAAAATGTGTATTCATCGCTGAAGCAGATATTCTTTATATGACTGGTATTACCATTAATCACTGCAGTCATTTGTTCACAAAACTCAACTCGCCTATAGAAATCATCTTCGGTTGACTTTTGCAATATTTTGATTTTGAGTGGATGACATTTATGGAGTTTAGTAACTGTGTGTACATAGCCTAATGAAATACTAGTCGCAGCAACAATTTTGCGTAATGAACTATTATGATTTATTGAAAAATGACCCAACTTGAGCGGCTTCATCCAGAACTCTTATGATCACCCCACAGCTCGCATCACAGTGCTGTGGGGTGACTCCGTGAAGGTGGGGGAGGGATTAGGCAGCGGCATACGCATCGCGAATAGAAATGACCCGTGAGCTGGTGGCATTGAGTGTACCTTCATCTCGGATTTGACTAAATTTAGTAATAATATGTAGTTTTTAAGTAAATGAACAAGAAGAGCTCAGTAAAACGGGGTGCATCCTGTCAAAAGTACCTCTCATACCGACTTAAAGATACAGCGTGACAAGAGAATTTCACCGTCCTCACCGAATCCAATGAAGCCTACAAGGTTTGATGGAAATTTTAGGCTCATTCGGAAAAACATGGTATGACAAACTGATTTCCGCCAGAAGTTTCCGTCGTACCGACTGAAAGCTAGAGCAGGCAATGCAAATAAATAAAAATAATACATCCTGTTTGTATGCTTCATGCTTTCATTGAAAAGCTCATTTGAGTCTGTCAGTTTGACACCAGGCTTCTAGATGTTTGAGAGTATATGTAAAATGAAACGTCATGACCGTTGATATACTACGTATAGGTTATGGTAAAATCCTACCGTCACGTTGTATCTTCAAGTCGATATGACAGGTACTTTCATCGGCATACCAAGCCCTTTTTGTTCATTTACTTAAAAACTACATATTATTACTAAGTTTAGTCGAATCCGCGATAAGGTTTAATTTCGCCCGCTCCCAACCCCAACGGAAAATGAGTGGAGTGACATTCGTATTGACATTTGAATTGGTCTGATCGAGTCAACGCGCGGGTGATAAAATAATGTTCATAATTTCGACGTTATCACATTTATTCTTAAGATGATCTTTGACAGCGTTTAGATTCAACAAGTTTTCTAATATTTGGTACAGTGGCTTTGTTCAAATTCATTAAAGAAAACATCTGCTCGCAGAGGTACGTTGTACCGAACATGGAGCAAGTTTCCAAGGCCAGTGCAGGAATTTTGGGAAAATCTTGCTGCTTAACACCTTGATAAAACTAAATTAAATCACTATTGTAGTGGTAGTATCTATCCTTAAGGATCGTATCGCATTGAAGCTAAATCAGCTCCATTTGGAATTGCGGCGGTTCGGTTTCGAAAAGCACTGAAGATGGCATCGTAAAAATCTCATTTGCATAAACATCTGAACGTCGTCAATGATTTCAAAAAAAAAAACTTTAACCAGCGCGTAACACAATAAAAGGGTATGTCACCGTAAGTTGCTTCCAGGTCTTTTAAAAATACTTCAAACTGTCGTGGTTGAGACCTTGCTTTCTGCAGAAATTGACACATGTTATTACTACATCCATAATATATTTGAAATTATGGAAGGTTTTTGCACATACTCGTAGATGTTCCTGATGTAATATGCAGTGTACCGATGATATCGGAGGTAGCCTAGCGTCGCGTACTTTGTTGTTCTTTTAAATCTGAACCAAGTTCAAGTATCCGACGAGGAATTGTTTGCTTGGACATACTAATTGTCTCAAAGTTGCTTACAGGAGATGGGCACAATATTTCTGCACACTCCACTAAGCATTCTTTGACAAGTGCACCGTCAGTAATAACACACCATTAATAATAATCAACTACGACCAAATTAATAACTACCTCTTCATTACTTAGAAGGGCTGGCCTCAATACCGTGTGACAAATTAAACATTTTGCTTTTCCATCAGTATTTACAAAAAAATAGGCTTCTTCCATGCAGGATTGAATGACATCGTTGAACAAAAGATGCACGTCAAGACGCTAAAAAACCTGTCTACTTTGTCTTGTCCTATTAAGAAATGGCCCGCGCCCGAGAGACAGTCGGCTAATAAGTTTCTCTCTGTCGCGACGGCTGTGTGGTCGAGGTGGAGGGGGAACGGAACCGGTGCCGCTGGGTTCAGCACCGGAGCGCACCAGCACTAAGTGCTCGAGTGGGAGAGGCCTGGTCTAAGGTACCGTGGGGCTCTAGGGGGATATAGGGGAAAGGGGGAACACCCGCACCCTAGCGAGGGAACATGTTCGCATGCAACATGCACATATTCTGGCCCCGCCTAGGAGATCCGCCGGGTGGTACCTCCGCGATCGAGTTTCCACAACTTCACTAAAAAACTGGATAATTGCTGCATGTAACTCAATAAGAAAAAACCCTCGTATTTGAAGGACTCTGTGATCTATGTGAGGAGAAGATTGGAGCTATACAGTATACCTGAAAACAGCAATTTGAAACAGTTTTTCTTGATTTAAAAAAGCCAAGTGGCATGAGGGTCAATATACATATATATGAAAATTTCATAATTTTCATATTGCTTTGAATTTTTTTTGTACATCCTGTAACTCGTAAATCGTTGAAAAGGAACCTTCTGTTTGGCCTAACTTTCTGTTGTAAAATCATCGACAGATTTGAAAAAAGATGGCGTCAAGTAGATTCTAGTATAAATTTCCATGTAATACAATGTCATGAGAAATACGTCGGTTTCGTCAGAAATATTAATGCACTATTTGGGCTTTTCATGAAAATAGTTTTTTCAGATTCCAGCAATGAGCGCGTTAGTACACGGTAACCTCATTTCTTTGGAGCTCTGGGGTAAAACTGTTTATCAAAAATGTTTGATAACTGATTATAATAGCTCTTAATACGTACTTATATACTATATATACTATATTACGTAATAAGACATCACGAAATCACGTAAACTCATTGGATTACACATGTGCATTCGCGTCACCGGGAGGTCCACTACCTGCTCACTCGAACACACTACCAAAGATGCATTATTTACAATTTCCTGGCATGCGATGGGTACGCGATCCGTCTGCTGAAAGTATTTTTGTTGGTTTCACGGGCAAATCTACGGGGAAATATATGATGAGTGAAATATGTTTAATTGGTGCGTAGAATTACCGGGGTTGGAAGTGCATTAATATACTAAAATAGAAAAATTACGATACTCCCCAACCACACTCCCCATTTTTTTACATCTAAATTTTTTTCAAAAATGAGTAGGATCCCTTGCAACGTCAAAAAGTGAACTATGAGCGCTTTTTGTTTTTCGAATTCTTCTTCGTCGCCACTGGACAGATTTTCAAAAACTACAAAGGTTTTTCTTTGTTGGTATAGAAGTAAGATTGTGTAATAATTTAGTCCAAAACAGTAGGTGTGGGAAGTAAAATAAAAAAAAGTGACAAGAGTCTTCAACATTCATAACTGTTTTCACGCGCTATGAAATTGAGAGTATCCCAAATTATTTTTTGTGTAGTAGAAATGTATTTTTTGAGACGATCAAAATCATATTTAGTATTCATCTTCCGCTGGTGGGGACTTGATTATAATGGTCTGAAGTATCTGACCAGATAGCAAATAGGCTGTTATTATACAACTACAATATCAAAGACGAATTTCATATCATGTTTTTTAAAACTCTACCTTTCTATTTCAGTGCCCCTTATTCACAAATAATGACGGTGCCAACATCATCACCAAAAGAAGTACTCTTCACTAACATAGAAAAAATCCCACCTGATTCGTCTTATCCAGAAATCACAGAAAATCTGATACCATTTTCCGCTGGAATAGAACTCTACGCATCTGCAGATAAGAGTACTAGTAGTAACACTATGAGTCAGAAGCCGATCACTGAATCACCAGGCAGTACCGAAAGCTCAGTGGAACCTACGATCAACGCTTCTGTTCAAAGGATAGCTGATCCAAACACAAATGTTACAGTCAGTGATGGTAAATATTAATCATATGGTTCTATGTAAAATACAAAGTACATGAACCTTATGAGAATAAACAATATCTGATATGACTACCTAAACATTTTTGGGAATTAAAAAAATATACTGAAGTTGAGGTTGGGTTGTTTTGAAAATAATAACAGTATTACCTACCATGCCGTTTTCCTGACATCGGTGGATTTGGCTTCTTGAAATAATTATGCAAATCGAATAAATATCCATAGCTCAAGTTTGTAATCTTCGTGTGAAAGGTAATTCTACCCCGCAACTTGTTTCTCGTGAAATCAACACTGACCCATTACTAACCGTTTCCGAAATCTGGAGGTACCCCACCCTTAAACATCCTGTAGATTTGTCTGATCCACATCTCACCACAGTTGCATTTTACTTTTTTCACCTAGAAATGTTTTTATGCCACAGCAAAAAAAACAATGAGTATAACAATCAATGGATCTAACTTTTAGTACAGTGGTTTCAGTAAATGCACTTCAAAACAGAATTTGTCAAAATGCTTTTTTTCAGAATAATAGTCTCTTGCAATATCATTTTATCGATATATTGGCATGATGTCAGTGTGATTGTATTAAAAAGCTGCACAACTTGCGTAGAAAGCATTTTTATGTGAAAATCCTATTTTTGAAAATAATAGGCAAATACTATTTTTCGCCGTCTATGTCCGCCATCCTTCAAAAATCAGCTATAGCCGCTTTCGTCTTTAATTTTGGAGTATATCGCTCCAATCAACATTGCAAAGGATTGTTCCAAAAACACTAATGAATAGATCTACGGAAATAACAGCTACGAATTTCTATGATGTAGACAACACGAAGAATTCTAAATATGATGATCAAATAAAAATATTTTGTCTGCGCATAACAATGGCTACAATTTTTACAGCTGAAATTACGAATCCAGTGGAAGCTAACAGTACCACTTCATCACCTCCAAGTACTCCAAAACCAAAGGTTCGTCCAGATACCCATAAAGAGATAGATGATAAGTGCCCAGAACTAGACAGTATTAAAGATCTGGACTCCTTGACACAAGATGACTTCACATCTCTTCTAACAGATAGCTGCAGATATGACAGATTGGTAAAGCCAATCACCAAGGAACATTTGGATGTTCATCTTCAAATCGATTTGACTCATATTGAGTCGGCAGATCATTTAGTAAGTATGTACTGATGTTTTTCTTTTCTCAATTTTACTGGAGTCGTTGAATTATTCTACAATTATTATGACTTATATCTGCTGTAATTAGATAGATCATCTTTGACCTGCCGTGCTCATTCGATTGTCAGGGCAGCCTGACACAGCCATTGAAGCTAACAATAAAATTGACTAATAGCTGCGTTATCTTTTCCTGGAAAGTATTTCAAAATATCTCGTACATCTTATATCATTTTTTTTGTAACGAATGCTTCTGAATCTTCTCATTAGTTTTGAATAGAAAAAAATAGTTTTCCATTCCTATGTGAATCATCCTCTAGATTTCTTGTTATTGAATGCTACCTGTAAATGGTCTGTGTTTAGTAAATATTTTTTATTGCAGCAACTGAAGGCTCATATTCTCATACAACTCCTTTACGTAGACCAAAGACTAAATTACTCAACTATATCACCCAAAAGGGGGAATATCCTTGGAGAAGAAATTCTGAGGAATAAAATTTGGGTACCACACGTGGTTATTCAAAATGAAAGGGACACTGTTTTGATGGGCATGAATAAGAAAGACGTCTTTGTTGAAATTAGCCCTGCTGGTGAAGTCACTTATTCTTATAGGATAACCACCACCTTCTACTGTTGGATGAACCTACAGAAATTTCCCTTTGATCACCAGATCTGCGAGATACGATGGGTTAGCTGTGAGTGGTTTCATTTTTTCAACATAACTGTTAGTCAGAGTTTGATTCCAAAAATATAGAAAATACGATTCGGATATATCCATGCCGTATTTGATCTGTGTTTCCTAAAATCTAAATTTAAGCTCCTCTAGTAGCTCCTACCATAAAAAGTTGGACCTTTTTGATTCCGTTTAAATAAAAAGCTTGCTCGCGATGATTTTTATTTTTCTGTTTCATAATTCATTGAAAGTCATTTTTACAAAACATTATTTCCAGGGGCATACAACATCAGTAATTTGCGACTCTCATGGGAAGGAGGTAAACCTTTCATCGTGGCACCGAATCTACATCTGACCGAGTACGTCTTAGAAGAGAAGTGGTGCGAAACATCAGTTGTACCACCGGCCTTCGACAGAGGTGGACTTGGTATGTGTATGTACACTCCTTTTCTAATGTCTATATGGAAATGTACGTGTTATATTATGTCTAGGTTTCGTGTCAGCGCTCTATTTTGAGGTTATGTCACAAATATTCATTTGCATCATATTGTGCATGCTTTTGATTTATATCATGTTTTATCAGCCTGAAATTCCCTACAATTTAAAAAGAAAACATAACTTTACAATAGGAGAGCGCTGACGCTGACACGGAACAGGTGCAATCTAGAAATTTTTGAAGGAGAGAAAGGAGCATGACAATCAAGGAGGCTATAAAGACGTCCTACAATTGTAGGAACGACTGACGATATGGTCCTGAAAAGCCGAAGATTTGCTATCAATAGCTAAATTTTTAGGAGACGAAAAAAACCTCTATGGAAAAACTATATGCTCCCTTGTATCCCCTAGCGTTCCCCATAGTTGCTTGTGGCTCTTTCAATTCCGCAGAAACTACTTCTGTGACTTAAAACTGTACATTCTGTATGCAATGCTATGAGTGCGACTGTAAGTCAGTAAACTGTCAAAGTGAACGTCGAACAAATCAGACTCTGACGAGCAGTGAAATTAATTCGTAAGGATGCTTAACCGAACGGAAAGCAGACAGGATAAGTCAGGATTAGGAGACATGCTTCCGATGGGTCCACCACCGAGTTATGACTCGGATTTCGATGATCATCCATCGGAGACAAAGTTGAATTTCGATCCACCGCTGTACAAGGACCCAGTTTACATCAAGGCTCTGCATGAGGAGTTGAAGGAGGAACGTAGGCAAGAAGAACTTGTTCAGTTCGTTTTGATTGTAGGTGTTTTTATTGGAGTTTTCTTAGTGTATTACTTTGCAATAGACTGAAAATGCTGTATTTGTAACATCAATAAATAATAAGGATCATCCCTAAACAAACGTCATTTAAAACAACACTGTATTGAAGCCAGAGTTTACGAGATATCGAAAGATCGAAGGTATTCGTATATTCCAACGAATTCAGACTAGTGAGAAGGAGCCAGTCAGGGATTTCTCTTCTAATATTCTCACAGTCTGTAGTGACGATTAAAGTGCACTTGGCAGAAGTCAAATTTATGACAGTTCTGTCTTTAGATTTGAATATTTACTGTTATTTTTTAAAAATGCGAGTGTTTGCAGATAACTGGTGGTGTTGTTGCACGATTTGAAGACATGATACTCTTAATATGGTTTGCAAAGAGCAACACAAGCCTAATAAAAGTAGGTGCTTCCGCCTGTAAGTTCTTTGGTAGGCAAGTCAGTCAAAAGGCAAATTCGGCATCAAACTACGCACTGTAAACATATAGGCTTGGTTCCTCCTAATCTATTTGAATGCGTTGGTTTATTCTATGGAATTATCCTAAAATTTAGTCAACTTCAACTGCTAGTAAGTTAGTCACATTTCCACATCGAATTGCGAACTTTTCGTTAAAATGAACTTCATATGTACATATCGTATGGTTTCCCCACTCTTAAACTTTTTTTGAGTTACATGCAACATGAATAAAATGTTAATAAGAACTCAATGTAGTTTCTCAAAAAACCAATAGATCACCTTTTAGCGGCTGTTTCAAATTAAACTCATTTTATTAGGATCTCGGTAACGGTAAGAGATAGGAGGTTGATGAAATGGGGGCAAAGTTGCACATTTAGGTAATTCAGGAAAGTTCCGACATTCAGAGTAGACATAAAACTTATTTTTCTCAAAATCGTTTTTATTTTTTTCCTGGCTTTTTTATAGATATGAAGTAAAAAGTGTTGCGCTCATATGAAAATAAAGCTTTGTGCTATTAGAAAACAACCAAATACTAAGACAAAAAGAAAACTAGTAATGTAAATTCCTCTCATCCGATCATAGACGGCCAACCAAGTACAGTTGTTTCGTGCTATTTGGAAACTCCTCAGTATGGTGTAGGCTTAGTCTATTCACTCTATTCAAAGTATCCGAAATCAGCGGCATCGAGCGGTCATAGTGGTGATCCGGCTGACATTGCGAAATGGTATACAGCTTGCTATTGCACTTTCGCAGTGGTCAATTCTGGTATTAGATGTCTTAACATAAACAGAAAATGGTTGTTGAATGCACAAAATACATCGGTTCTAAAGTACTACAACGAAAAGAAAAACGTTGATAAAAGCTGAAAACGCATATGGTCCAAAATATTTGAATACAGAAATTTGAAACCGTAATATACAGAAGAAATAAAATAAATATCTACGTGTATCGTGAATGTGCTGTCACATAGTTATTATAATTGATGACAGAATTTCGTGAGAAGTGTAAAGCAAGCAAGTGTAAAGCAAGCCTACTTGACGTCAATTTTTCTCTTCTAGCTGGCAATTATAGCGCAGCAATTTTCAAATTCAAGCTACGGAGAGAAGTTGGCTATTACATAATGGACTATTTTCTGCCATCTATCTTACTGGTGTGCATGTCTTGGGTGACATTTTGGTTACAAGCAGACGCTTCAGCACCTAGAGTAACATTGGGTAAGAATTAAAGACCCTATTTAATCCCAGTGGCATCGTTTACATCTGTCTGATTGCTGATCTGTGGCTATATAAAGCTCACTGCTAATTAGATTTACTTTATAGATATCTTGAAACATCAAATATCAATATGATGATTATACAGATCACTCCTATGATGTTTTTTGTTTTTCAGGAGCCTCAACAATGTTGTCATTCATAACACTGAATGGAGGTCTATCCAAAAACTTACCAAAAGTTTCTTACATCAAAGCCAGCGAAATCTGGTTTTTAGGATGTGTGAGTTTCATATTTTTCTCGCTTGCAGAGTTTGCTTTTGTAAACGTTATTTGGAGACGACGGTAAGTTATAGAATATGAATGTTCGTTGATCAACTATATTGAAGACCTTAGATGGATTTGTCAAACGAGTCTAGATCTTAATTTTTACAACAAAACTTGTAAGATTTCTGACATGTGTATTGTTAATACCTGAGTAGTAATGTCTACAAAAGCTGCTTCTGTGATCACGCTAGAAGTTGAAGTTTACTGATGATGTGTTTCTTCTATGAAAGAATCAAAACGAGGCTTAAATACCAAACTAGATTTCTTGATTATATGATCGAAAAAATAAAAAATATGTATTTATGTTGTTTATTTTTTCGATTTTAGGAAGAAAGTTGAGCTAAAGAAGCAAAACAGCAAACATATCCTTAAAGGAGCACTCACTCCCAGTTTAGCGAGAAAACAACTGAGAAAAGCCGAATCTAGTCATTCTTTGTATAAGACTAGATCATGCTCGAGCCTGGATAGGGAAAATGCCAAAAATACTCAAATGAATTATCTCACAGTTCATGTAAGTATGTCATTGCAAGCATTCATTGTACAGATGCTATCACAAAAGTCGGATTAGAATTACTATCCCACACATACTGATCCGAGCGGGGGTTCTACTTTGCGGAAAACTGGCAACCACCAATAGGAGCGCTCAAAAACATATCCGAAAAATTGAGATGTGTACGATTACCAAGCTGTACATCGTACATTTTCAAAGCGATTTGAATAAATGGTTATTCCTCATTTATTCATCACCTTGCTGCTACTTTTTGAAAGTCGAGATAAGCATCTCATCGAATATTTCCAGGGCTTCCCTGGGATGAGTGTCCCGAAGATAACAACTCAAAGCAACGATGATCTGATTAGCAACAGTAGCATAGCAACAATTCCTATTCCCGAAGATTCAGTACCTCCTCCTGCTCCTACCTGGACCACAATGACCCCACATGAGGTCGCAATATGGATAGATAAGAAGTCCAGAATAGTATTTCCAACTGCATTTCTGATATTCAATATGTTGTATTGGTCCTTTGTATATGCTATCTAATATTGTACATTAATTTTTGACTTGTATCTTTTGAAGAAGAAAAACTATTTCTGAGAATTTCTTCCCCTTCTTGCATTTAGTTGATCGAGCACCAAAGGCATGACTGATTGTTATATAGAATGCATTAGGAATTGGATCAATTCTACTTACACAGCTTAAGTATCGGAATACCACGTATTTTTTTTTCCAAAAAGTTTCAGAGTATCAGAAAAGCAATTTGTCGACGAAGTTTGAGGGCAAGTTTGAAAATTGAAATGGCAACCACCTTTTTGACAGCATACTCATGTCAGGCTTGAGATTATACATAAGAGTGGATTTTCATACATGAGGTTGAAGGTTCATGAGTGGTCCAATCACTATCAGTATCGTTTGAAAAGTATACTAACAACTCCAAAAGCTCATTGGACCACTTATGGCGCTTAATCTTAAGTATGAAAATGTACTCCGATGTAAATTCTTATGCTCTTCATGAATCGGCTGTTGAAAAATTATTATTGCGCTTTGAACTTCTAAATTTGGCCTCCAAGTAGGATTTAAGGTCAATATTCAGGTCATATTTGAGCTCATCGACAAATTGCTTTTTTGATTTCCTGAAATCCGTCAAAAAAAAATGTGGTTTCACCAAGTATTCGGGGCATTCGGGTATTTAATAGACCCTGTACAATTTGATCTGAAATAAGTCTCTATGTACGTTGGAAAACTTAGGAAGCTGAATTTTTATCATTATTTTTAACAATTTGATTTGATTTGATATCTACCATTTGCAGATAATGAAGAATACCTGTGTATGGTTTATCGAAGGCCTAAGAAAGTTCGATCATGTATCACACTTGTATCGTAATCTTGCATGGTTATGCGTTCAAAACCTTTTCAAATACTCCATTCTCACCTTCACTCACAGGATCATAGTAACATCATCCCCTCAATACCTCAGCTGTAAACTTGTCCAAGGGCGTCTGTGCATAATCTTCATGTTCGTAACCGTGACACCTTAACTATGCCAATACATCGCACAACACTTTTTAGACGAACTTTCACATACAATGCAATTTTATTAATATAAATAATAAATAGCTTAAGCCAGGATCTGAAGACTATCCAGTCTTCCCGGAGTTTTGAAACTCAGTTAAAAAGAACTTTACAAGAATTGCAAAACAACCGCTAGCTTAAGAAGTTCTTTCATTTTCATACTTTTTTTATTTTTAATTATTATTTTTCCGTTTCGTCATAACCTATTATCTCTTCTTCTTTGCATAGCTAAATTGGCACAAATCGTCTTATAATATATAATATAATCTTTGTACTTTCACATTTTTTTTGTCTTTGTATTACTGTTTTTTTTTTACTTTTGTACGGGGTTAGATGGTGGAATAGCAGGTGCTATATCTCGCCCCATGTAATGTACCATTTTTTGGTCAATAAAGACGATTATTATTATTATTATTTTTAGTATGATGTAAATATTATGTACTTAGTGTTGCGCTACAACTATTCTAGTCTCATTTGCACAGTTTTCTTAGGTATGCTTGAATCTCTAGTGGAATATATATTTACTTTTATGTGACGCATGGCTAGCATTTTTCCTATGATGTTGAGGTTGAGATTGTCGTAACAAAATCGTAGCATTGCTTTAATTCGCAAAAAAATCTTTTCTATATTAATGAAAACAATTTTAAACCAACATTTACAACTTATATTGATTTTTTTAATTTTATTCATAGAAGTTACCTTCAGATTTTGAATCTGTGGATAAAATACAGTATCAGCCAATCAATTGAGGACCTGTTAAATCAGGATAGATAAGATTTCTATATATCTTAATGTTGAGAATAAGACCCAGTTAAAGAAAGTAAGAAACATGCTAATCAAATTGATAAATCAGAGATGCCATAATAGATTTAGGTAGTATAGATGTTAAGATAGCAAGTATCGAAAATATTTAAGGGTGAAGTCTAGGCTGTATTGACTTAAATCTCAAGTTCTATTCATCCTACAAAAATTCGATTTCTGGTTGAAGTTAAAGTCAAACAGATTCTTAGATGAACTTTGTAAGGAGAAATATACTTGTGTAGGTGTATATATTTAAAGACAAAGCCCTGTTTGGGAATAATATCACTATGTAAGTTTTTACTATGTTTGTATTACCTAAGAATAAGATTAACATAATTATGACAAAAAAATATAGTATTACAATAAATAATCAGAGCTTAGTGTGAATCCTCCCCTGACCTGGAAAAAAGATTCCATTTATAAAATAATGGTAATTTTTGACGGATAACAAGCCCTATTCATAGTCCATTTACGCCCCGGCACGTTGCAATAGCTATTGGTCATTCTGCCATAAAACTAACAAGTGCAGGATTCGACAGGATAGAACACAGTCTCGGGGTATCGCCGGCACGCCGACGCCGGCAGCTGCTGTTCATATTCGGTGCATACATGTGTTTATACGTTAGCATGTCGTCTACGGATACGGTAGATGAAACTGAGAATATTTCTCCCAATGGTTCTTTCAGCCATGCTTCCCCTTCAGTGATGTCTTTCCCCCGAAAACGTGACAAGAAGACACACTTGAATATTCAGGCAAAAGAAACGTTTATAAGAGCCTAATTTTAGAGCATCCTGATAAAAAAATTCATGATATTGAAAGACGTGTGGCGAACAAAACAGGCTTATGTCCTAAGATAATTTTCAACATTGTTAAAGAAAATAAAAAAAAAACAAAGGAATGTCTCAACCACACGAAGCTGCTGGATACAGTTCATAACTTTGATCGGAATGCCATCAGATGCAAACTCCAATTTTTTGAATTGCCTACCAAAGTATTAATTTACCCAAAAAACTTCATCTTGAGTACAGAAAATGGGGCAGAAACAGTATTTTGATTAACAGCCAAGAGATTATTTTATGGAGAAGAAATTATTTAAAATCAATAAAGAAATGCCGCGACCCGGGCAGGAAGATTTATTACTTGGATTAAACCTACATAAATGCAGGACATACAAAACCTAATGTATGGCAGTGTATTGGCAGTGAAGATGGCTTTGTCCACACTGCCCTATTGTACGTAATGCTGCATACCACACTAGAAAACTAGAAAAAATTCTCACAATTTCCACAATAAAAGCAGACATTCAACAATGGCTGCTATCAAAAGACATTAGTTTGAATGAAAAAGCAGAATTTATCCATCTAGTTAGGCAGCACAAATATAAATATAATCTTAATGTTATTGACGAAATGGCTAAAATCCAAAACAAGACCGTTTTAAGGCTACCCTTATCACTGCGAATTAAATCCCATTGGAATGATTTGGGCAAATATAAAAAACTGTGTGGCTTCAAGTTTCAAATTTTCTGACGTGAAACATTCTTTTTCATGAAGCGGTCAACAGCGTGACGGCAAACCATTGGGAAGATTGCATCAGTCACGTTCAAGAGACAATTGAAACAAATATGTGTGATCTGGACAGTATGATCGATATTAAAATTGATCCTGTTATAATTAATATTAACCATTCGGACGATGATCCAAGTACTTCCAGCGAAACAACAATTGTAAAAAGTATGTGCACTTCTTTCTATAAAAATAATTATGCATCTTGTTAGATTATTCCAAGGCCATTTAGGAAAATACGGACCTGTACAATCTCGCTTTTGAGTATGTTGTGTTTTATCTGGGCGTAAACGGACTACGAATGGGGTATAGATGGTGATATAAGAGGATGTTATCGCATGATTCTGATAATATGATTAATACTCAAGAATATCGTGAACCGTGAATGGCTTTGGTGATTATTGAAAAAGTCTGGTAATTTTTCTTTCTACCACATTTAGAAAGTAATTGATTGTAGCAATCTGATATACACCAAACATTCGAATAATATGGAACGTATTGAGTTACATAATTCTAAATATAAAAAGTTAATATGTCAAAAGGTGTAACTGTAACTGTATAATTATCTCACACTGAGACAAATATGTCAAAAATGGAAGTAGAGAAATTACAAATAGAATGAACAAATTTACACCAATTCGAAGGAACCAAGGAATCAATCTATTTGACTGAATTCTGACATTTCGTACCTTGACGAATCCTTCTTTAATCGTACAGGAGGGCTAGGAGGCAATGGAGGCAGTTTTGTTCCAACACTTGGTCTACTCACAGGCTGCCCCATGACTCTATCCACACTGGAATCACTGAGATTTGGCAGCCCATCTTCTCCAGATTCGGCAGATGATGGAGGAGAGGGTCCGCTGACATCACTTCCGCTCATATCAGCAGTGCTCCTCCTGAACATTGGATCGCTATAACTGATTGCATGATATCAGTTGTACAGTCTAGTCATAGACGAAAATACCCCTGGTTTGCGAAATAATTGTAAAATCTAGTTTTATTGCTGCAAGTTGTTCGAGGAGGTATTTAAAACATAAACGAGTACACCCATTTCTGTGGGAAAACTTTTTATTCGACAACAAAGAATGAGAAAACGTGTTTTTTGGGATTCAATCGAAAGTGCTGACAGGAACAAATAAACTCTCGATATAAGATTTTTACTCATACATGAGACATACAAAATGAGACCACACGTGAAAAAGATCCGAGTAATAGCAAAAAAGTTATGGCCGAAAACCGAGAAAAACTGCAGGTTTTGGTACTTGTTGGTAATGCGACGATGGTTTCTCGCAGATGCTTGAAATTCTTCAGATTCGTAGGATTCGTACTTCTAAATAACCACAACAAAATTCGAGTAGATTGGCCAAGTAGTTTTTGAGAACTTATAATTTTTTATCCCAAAAAACCTGTTTTCCGGCCAGCACTACTGGTTCATTGAGCAATATGCAGGGTTAGTTCAAAGGGCACCTTAGCAAAATACACTAGTTTACCTTGCCGATATGAATCGCAAACCATTCCGGAACATTATTTTTATGCCAAAAAGGATGGGTTAAATTTTTTTCCTTTAATCAAATTCAAACATTTCGTATTTGTGAATAATTCCCAACAAAAGATGATAGACCATCTGCTTTGTTTTAAAATGTGTATAGTAACGTATGTTTTTCGAATATCGTAGCGCATTTGTTCAATTACTCACAAATACGAAATATTGGAATTTTTATAAAAAAAAAAAATCGTAACCTTTGTTTTTCGCATAAAAATCACATTTATCTTTCGGAATGGTTTGTGGTACATACAGGTAAGGTAAACACGTGCATTTTGATATTAAATGCTCTTTCAACGAACCCTGTATATTGCTCAATAAACTACGAGTAGTAGTGATGGCAGGTGTTTTGGGATAAGCAATTAGAAATCCTCAAAAACTACTTGATCAATAAACTCCAATTTTGTTGTTGTTATTCAGAAGTATGAATAAAGATATGGATATAAAGAATTTCAAGTAGTTGCCTGAAATTATCGCCGCATTACCAACAAGTGCCAAAACCTGCTTTTTGCCTCGTTTTTCGACCATAAGATTTTTGCTATTAGTCGGATCGTTTTATGTGTGGTCTCATTTTGTAGGTCTCTAAAACACGTAGAAATCTTATATGAAAATTTTTTCAGTTCCTGTCAACACTTTCGATTGAATCCCAAAAAACGCGTTTTCTCATTCTTTGTTGTCAAATAAAAAATTTTCTCACCAAAATTGGTATACCCATTTTATGCGTCCGTGTTTTAAATACCACCTTGAACAACTTGCACCAATAAAACCGGACTTTACAATTATTTCATGGAACTTTGCTACTATGATCAGACAGACTAACACTAGTACACGTGTCTTCGTTACCCAAATATTCACAACAACAAAATTATGAAAATTTTACGTAAATCGTATAAAGCAAACTGGAAAAAAGCAAATGTTGAGATTTAATTTCACAAGCAGCATGCATCAACCTGGAACTAAAGTAATACAATTGTGAAAAAATAGCCAAATATCTCAGGTTTCTTGAAGGTCTCTTTATTCGTCATTGTTAGAAAGGTCCGTGGGACGTTTGCTCTTGGTTAAAGCCTTGTAGGTCGATGGGTCTGCCTCTCTAGACACTAGAAAGCAGGAAGCAGAAAGAAAAGGAAAGGAATGAAGGAGAAGAGCAAAGAAGTGCTTCGGAGAAGAAGAAGAAATTCCCCAACCGTTTTCTTTGTCTAAATCTCTCTTACCCTCTCTCTCTACCTGTATCATTTTACGTTTGTCGGTCTGTCAACCTGTCGGTCTACCTGATATACTGTAACGAATTGGCACACTGCAGATGGCATTTTCAATACCAATGCTTCAAGTGCACACTGAAATTGACTGAAATCTCATGAAATACTTACATTTTACTGATTGGTGGTAACTTGTCTGGCGAAAAGGAAGCTGAAGACGGTACATTGTAGTCTGTGTATGTGGCTGCATGAATTTCCTGTTGATACATCTGATAAAGCTCTTGCAGATCTGGTGGTAACTTTATTTTACCGCCTGTAATTGTCATTAATTTGTTAGATACTACAACAAGTATTAGATGATTTTGTCATAAATACAGAATAGAGAAATTACCTGCAATTGATCCGTCTGCAAATTGGACCTTTATAGATACTTCCCCGATAGCACGAAATATTCATTAAATATTTATTCAATATTTGAGGATATTTTTATCTTATGTAAATATTTGTTATCTTCAACAAATTTTCAATAAATATTTGGGTTATAACAATCTTAATACATATTTAATCAATATGTTTTATTTTAAATACAATATTTCTTTTAAAATATTTATTAAATATTAACTTCTCAATCAATGGAAAATATTAAAACTCCATTATTTACAAAATATTCATTAAATATTTTCGGCAACGGCGCATGTGCGTATGAGCCTGATCGACCAATGGCATAATGGCAAGCCGACCTGAGCCAACATGCTTGCCAGCTTCCATTTTGCCTGTGTGTTTGCGTGCATCGTGTGTATCTCCAAGTGGTACATTATTTGAGTGCTTCTTTGTGGAAAAAGTTTTGCGATAATTACTTAGCTTTATTTATCTGACTAGTAAACATTATTCTGCCAGTTGAGTATAAAAGGTATTTACAAGACCATAAATAGCTATCCTTGTGATAGAGTTACTTGCGATAAAATATATATATATATATATATATATATATATTACAGGATTTTGGGATTGCTGGATTTTTCTCGAAATTTATAAGAAAATCATATTCATAACATCCCAATGAAAAGTCACCAGAATAACAACTTGATCGAGAAAAAAATGATTTTTGTAAATATCTCAATTATCATTTAACGATTATTGATTTTCTTTAGAGTCCGCAGCGGTATTTTTGTCTTATTACGGTGCAATTCGGATAACTACTTTAAAATTTCAAGTTCAACAGTGACGTTCCACAAATTGTAGCAATTGAAAATGCTATAAAAATACTACAAAAAATATTTGTCTCTTGAATCATAATCTAACATCCCAAAATAGTTATGGGTAAATTAGCACCCTACTACTGCAAAAGTCACATTTTTATAAAACTGATATTTAAAAATCTTTCCTCGTATAGTTTCTATATGTTTGGAAAAAATATCGTAAAAATATATAAATAATACACATATACCACAAATATTTAAAATGAATATTTTATGAATATGTAAAAAAATTATTTATTAAATATTAAAAAATCTGTCGCTACAAATATTTGGCAAACATTTTTTTTAAGTATTTAATAAATATTTCATGCTATCGGGGTTGTTCAATGCCAAATCGCATAGAAATCTTTCTAAATTTTACCTCTTTGTGAAAACTCCTAAAAATACTTGAGTAGACAGTCTATAAAATTCTTCTTTTTCGTATGAAACCTGCGTCTGATGTGAGTTATCAGATCGTATATTTCCTATATGATTTTGAGTAAGACTTCTCCTTTCACCTGAATGAATAAGTAAGGCATGGCGAATGACCAATGCAGTCGACAACGTGGTTTTTTAAAAAATAAGTACAAAGACTATAACCAAATCCAAGCGAATAACCAAAATTTCTGTATTATGTGCCGCGGTTATAATATGGTTCAAAATGACACACTGGTTGATGACGTCAGTTACACGAATCGCTTGTACGCGTTGGTTTTAACCGCGGTTTTGTTGCAAGTTGTTTATTTTAGACAAGCGCGTATATAATCTCTGATTATTTTTATTATCACTTAATAATCGGTGCTTTTTCGTCTACAACTGTATATGGAAAGTTTAAATAAGAAACCTTTCATAATATTCATGGGAGAAATGTGTATTCAGATTTTTTTTTAATGATGGAACCATGGCTTTGTAGCTATGAAAACTTTCAATTCTCTAAATTTTTCCGCATGTCAAAGAGAACATTTATTGATTCAGCAGAAATGATGAAATAAGAAATTAGCAAAACCGTATACAGGTGGATATCATCTAGTGAGTTTATATGGCCATATTTTAATATTCTTGTGGTATATGGCTACACAGGATACTTTGTTAAGCATAGGAACTACATTTAAAGTGTCTCCAACAACCGTAATGAGTATAACTAATAAGGTGCTCCACTTTATGGTAAAACTGAAGTCAGCCTGTATCAATTTTCTCAAAAATGCAGCTGAAGTACAATAACAATATCCAATACCCGGCAAAATTCTAACTTGTCATATTTCAAGTAATAACCAGAAATATAAAACTACTCTTGAGTTGGGTAAATACCACAATTTTGCGGTGATAACTATGACATATAATAGCTGATTCGTGACGTCACGGATCTTATAACCAAACTGATAACTACACTCGCTTGAACGGATTGGTAAATACCAACCCAAAATGGTAAATACCATTTCCATTTGGTTATCCGCTAGAATTTGATTTATAACTCACCTTCTAAAAGTTGTCGTTGTCTTGTGATTATTTCCTCACACAGTTGCCTCTGTCTGTCGTACCTCAAGATGACCAAGTCTCTTCGTCGCAGTTCGTGTTGTCTTACTAATCGCTCAGACTGTAAAGCCATTTTGTCAGCTTCTAGCTCGTGTACTCTACACATCAAAGCTAAGATTTCCCGCTCATCATCTGATGATAGGAGAGATGGCAGTTTCTGAAAAGAACGTAAGTAATCATAGAAATTGAGATGGCCATATATTTTAATAGATAATCCCATCTATCACACCTAAACATATCTGATCAATGAGAGCCTTCACTAACCTTTACAACTATTTGTTATTCAGTCTGTATTGTAATAGGATCGGTTAAAACATACGCTTTGGTTTAAAGACATGTATACTCAGTGATATTAGAAGTGTTACACCCAGAAAAAATAATTTCTTCAACTTGATTTTTTGGCATTGAGGTAGCCTTACATCAAGAATGGAACGATAACATTCACACGAAATTTTATTGACAAGTAAAAGACAAAAAATTGATAAAGTCTTGGGCGACCCCGCAGGTGAATACACTCCTGAATACGTCTAGGCATCGACAAAATAAGATGATCGATGTCTCGTTGTGGCACCTCATTCCAAGCAATTTCGTGGATTACCTGTAGCAGAGTCTATGGCGGATGGTGCAAAGTCGATAGTCTCCTCCCACACGCTGAGATTTATATCCGGTGAAGGGGGTGGCCACGGCAAAACATTAACGCCTGTTTCTTGAAGAAAGACCGTGGAACGACGAGCAATATGGGGATGCGCGTTGTCTTGCTGAAAAATAACGTGTGGACGGCCCTCTCGATACGCCAGTAAAGTGGTTTGTAGGATATCATCAACATATTGCCTTGAACAAAGAGAGGGGGTGACCGGCGCTACCGTAGGTAATAGCCCCTCAAATCATTAGCCCAATAGTCCTGCGTACATACCTCTCAGCAGCAAAATTAATCCAACATCACGCTGTTCTCCAAGGCGCTGTCTTACCCTTCTACGATCATCATTCGTATCTAGACAGAATCGCGATACAAATATAGTCATTATGTTACCAAAAAAACAAGTTAAATAAATTATTTTTTTCTGGGTGTAACACTCCTAATGTCATCGAATATGTTATGTCGCACGTAAGGTTTTACCTCACACTCCCACCATTTTTTCAAAATGACGCCGTACGAGCATTTGTGAAAACTGAGCGAATCTTATGGATTATACAGCAAGTATATTGAAGTAAACTGGTGTCTTGTAATTTAACTAGTGATAAAACGAAAAAGTTAGTCTTCTAGCACTCTTGAAATAACGTGTCACAATATCCTACAAATGGTCTTGATCATGGGAAACATATGCCAGATGCTGGTAAGCGCATTTTCTCAGTATAGAGAGAGATAGGGTTATTTGATTTTTGATTTCTTTAGTAGATATCGCTTACTCACAAAAGATAATGCTACAACTTACATCTTCCAACTCGACTCCTCTTTGTCTACAGACCTCCAATTTTTGTTCTATGTGTGTTCTGAGCTCCGACCAACGTTGTTGTTCCCTTTCAATGTCAGCCAATTCCGCCCATGCTTGTTGAACAGCTGCTTCGCCTTCAGCGTCTTCATCTCCATCGGATCCGTCTTCCTGTTCATTTCCTGCTGATCTGAAGCCATCTGCCGTATTCAACTTTTTTCTCCTAATAACAAATTAACGATTACTTTTACTATCATCGCATTTGTAAAATGATAGATTTTAAATTGCGTAGGTAGTAGAAGGATCCCGTCAAAATAGTGCCGGTATAGGTCATGCGCTAAATGCCTTTTCGCATTTATGCATGCAATACTGGTCCCATGGCAAACCTCAGTTTGGCCTTAAATCCCATCTCCTGTTGTGAGAATTCAAGGCAGTGGTCGACAACGTTTTCAGTGTGTTGAGCTACTTTGATAATTTTGTAATACACAGTGAGCTACCTAGTCGTAAGTAATGTAAGCCAACTTAAATGAAATTATACACAGTTGTATAATATATATTTACTTTACTAATACTAATACATACCGATAAACTTAAATAAACTAATAACTATACATACCACATAACTACGAGCCCCTTCCCACTTCAGTTGGCCCAACTATTGAAATCTTAGTTTTATTCTTATCAAACACAAATAATAAAAATGTAGCAGGGTGTTATAGGTTTAAAATATTAAAAATGAATATTTTGATAATATATAGTAGAAAACACCAACTTTATGACTCCGTAATCAAATTTGCAGCATAAAAATAACACATGTTGCAATTACAGCATATCAACCTATTTTCATTTCAATGCAAAATAAGTCTATAACGCATAGGTGGCTGTGAAAAATAAAAGCCATGACAATTGTTTTTATTAATCACAGCTGTTTTGGGTAGTTAAGGTTTTCAAAATGGGTAGAAAAAAGGTTATTAGTGAGAAAATTCGGTTACTGATAATTAATTTTTTTAATTCTAGGAATACAAACTCAGAAATTGCAACTTTGTTAGACTTATCGCGGTACAGTGTGAGAAATATTGTTAGAAGATATAACGTAACTAGTTCAGTTAATATAAAAGGCGCAATCCACACAGAACGGGCGCGTGTGTCATCACATGTTCGTTTATGCAGAAATACAGACAGAAGTGATGTGGCGCCAGCGAAATAATTCGCGCCACCGCCGTACCACTTCGACACCACGAGTGGCCTACATTAGTGGCAAATGCCATACACCTGACAGCTACTTTTGTTGATTTTTGGTGTTTGCTAATCAAAATGCGGGATTTTCAATTTAATATCGAGTTCTGTGAACTAGTGGAACATTATGCAGTTCTATATGATTACAGACGATCGGATTACTGCAACAGGAGTGCACAACACCAGGCATGGGAACAAATATAAAAAAAATCAGTGCAAATGGTAAGTAGGTACATGTTTATTGATTTTTTTATATTACAGAGTATCTGATTCCATTCATACGCAGTATCTATCCTGATGAGGAATTGGTGCGCGGTCTTTAACATAGTTGCTGAGGTAAATTCTCATATCTCTAGCGTTTTGTATTAATTGTACTGGAGTGGAATCGCCAACAATAACGTTTTCATATTGGGGCCTTGATAATGCGCCATCACACTCCTTAATCGCGTTGTGCAACACACACATTGCTTGAATTAGATCATTAACTTTAGTAGGATCACATCGAATAAGTGCTTGTAGAAGCCCGAACTTTGTTGTAAGCATACCAAAAGCGCATTCCACTGATTTCCGTGCTCTGGAACATCTGACATTAAAGATCTTTCGTTCGTGACTTATCAGCTCTCTTCGAGAGAAGGGTCTCATTAAATTTGAGCATAGGGGAAAAGCCTCATCGCCTACAAAAAAGTAGGGAATTGATGGAAGCATTTCTCCAAGTAATGCAGCTGGTTCAGGTATATTCAGACGTCGTCGTTCCTTCAACGCTATTGCGTCCGAATTCACCTACATCGATTGTTAGAAATAGGCCATCTGCATCTGCCACAGCAAGTAAGACAATAGAAAAAACCCTTTATAGTTGATGAAAGCAGATCCTCACCGCGGTGGTGCTTTTATTCGAATATGTTTGCCATCTACGCTACCAATACAGTTGGGAAGATTCCACAGTTCATTGTGTAGGTTTTGGCATATAGACAGGTTGTAATTTCTTCCATATGACTTGGGCGGTGTTTTTTTTTATACTCCAACTACCACGAAGGCCTAAGGCCTAAGCACCCATTGGGTACCGTGGGGCTATAGGGGGATACATGGGAAAGGGGGGGACGCCACACGGACTCTGGCGAGGGAATACGTGTGCATGCAACATGCACACATTCTGGCTCCGCCTACGAGAACCGCCGGATGGTACCTCCGCGTTCGACAGTCAGAGACCATCTACCACCTACGGACAATCACAACATCCATAGCCAAGAGAAAAATGTCTCCTGGGACGGGACTCGAACCCGCACAGCGCACGGCGACTGATCAGGAGACCGAAGAGACTACTACTGCGGCCACCGTTGCTGCCTGAAGGTGTGATGCACAATCTCTTGTATAGTAGAATGACCTTTCAGGAAGTAGAAGGAAAGGGCTGAATGAACATCCAGTCGCGAAGTACCTGAAAATAGGCAATCGATGTTCACTTTATACAGACCAGTATTTTGTTTTAACGTATATGTATTTAAATGTATAATTTTTGTTTTTGTTCCAGTATTCGAGTGTAAAGACCGCTGGAAGAATATACGAGGAAGCTATTCAAAATATAGGGCAAAACTACAAACAAAATCAGGATAAGGAGCTAAACGAGTCAAATAATATTATCTGGCCCCACATCTCCTCTTCTTGGATCCTTTCTTGAAGTCTTGCAAAAGCAAAGGCAACATAGCTGAAGAGTCTGCATTATCAGCTGATGAGGAAACAGATTCTAATGAATATGAAGAAAACGGCAACACTGAGGTTCAATCACCCGATTACATTCTATCCACTCATTCCTCTCATTCACCTATACCATCTCCCAGTACTTCTGTCGATGATCACCTGTTAGCAATGAAAGCACCTAAAACACCATCACGGAAAGGAGATGATTTAAGAAAAAAAAAGAAGTTAGCAACCTCTATCAATGATGTCAACCATCAAGCTTTTCAGTATTTTGAGAAAAAACAGAAAGTACTGGAGATCCAGAACGTCACGAAAACATACCACAGTTGATCCTCCTGATCCTGACCTGGCATTTTTACACAGTGCCTGACATGAAGTCTATGAACTCTAACCAGAAACGGCGTTTCAAAATGGGCATTTTAAATTTGGCCGAGCAAATACTATCCTCAACCAATCTGGAAGCTACTACTCCACCAATGGATGGTTCTCAATCTTGGATTGAAGATTCGGTGAATAGAAATCCAGGTTCAATCCCGCAAACCAACACGGACCCTTTCAATATGACTGAGTTTATACGATACAATAATTAATACTGATTTTATGTTTTCTTTTATTTGAGTTAATTCAATTTACTTTTATATATTTTTTCAACTTACCTCAACGTTATTAACAGCCTCTCCTCTGGACTGACCGGTTCTCTCCAATTTCTTGATTTCTTTTCAAGATCTACCCTTACTAATGCTAGTATTTTATAAAAACATTGACTGGACATTCGATAGAAACTTTGAAAACGTTCAGGGTATATATTGAGCTCCCGCATAACGTTGAACGAACCACTAGTTTTCCCTTTATCTAGCCGCAAAGGATGTATCCAGTATCTTCTTTGCCTTTGTATGTTAGCTAAAGTCAGAAGTTCTAACATATCTTGATCATCTTCGTCATCCGAAAACATCGTCAGTCGTCACTCTGTGATCCACGCCTTGAGGGAAACTGATTCTGACATTTCAGTGTGAATTGAACGCGCCACGTCTGTTCCTCTACCGCACCACGCCAGGCCCACGCCACCACCACACGCCCGTTCTGTGTGGAAAAGTAATATCACAAATGCTGACCGAAGAGCATTAAGAAGAATAATTGTGAAAAACAGGCGTGCCAATTATTTACAATTAAGTGCTCTGTGGAGTGACGCTGTTGAAAGGAGAATTTCGAGGTCCACAACTCATAGAGAGGCCCACAAACTGGGATTTAGCACTTGCAAGGTAAGTTTTCTTATAAAAAAAGTGAAGTAAAAACCCTAAAGTTGCACAACTTGTTTATAGGCCAAAGACACGCCACTATTAACTCCACTGCAAAAGAAAAATCGGCTTAGATGGGCTAAAGAACATAGACAATGGACACCTCAACAATGGTGTGCAATACAATGGAGTGACGAGGCCCGATTCGAAGTTTGTGTTGGTGACAGTCGCAGTAGAGTTATTCGCAAAAAAAATGAAGCATTCCATGTTGACTGTCTGAAGAGGAAAGTGAAATTTCCAGCATCCATTATGGTCTGGGGCAGTATGTCATCAAAAGGAGTAGGAAAACCTTCATTTTATTGATGGAAATGTGGATACAAACAAATATTTGGCAATTTTAGAAGAACCGCTTTTACCAGTGATGGGAGAATGTTTGACATCCGGCCAAGATTTTGTGTCTCAGCAGGATGGTGCAGCGTGCCATACCTCAAAATGGATGGAAGAAAATAATGTACCACTTTTGAAATGGGTTTCTAGCAGTTCAGATCTGTCACCTATTGATACTTTGTGGTACGAGATGAAAAAGGTTCTACGATAACATCCTGCTCGTACAATCACCGAACTGAGACAAAAGCTTCTATAAATATGGGATTGTTTTACACCAAATTTTTGCCAAAACTTGGTTAACACTATGCCCCAAAGAATGGTAATCTTTCAATTGTTGCTTTGTTAACTTCGCGCATTGATTCGCACATTGTTTATTTGTTCAGATGTTCTATTAGTTATAGATCTAAGTGATTTCAAATATGTATTTATTACGACTAGAGTGTATCTAAAATGTTTTTGAGAAAATAAATTGTTTTAGAAGTAAATAGTTTCGTCGTATTTAGATTATAAAGGCATATTTTGGTACAAATCTTGAAGTGGGCCAACTGAAGTTGGAAGGGGCTCGTACATTCATTCCTACCAATCGTGTTTGAAAAATAAACAAAACGTTTCGTCAGATACAATAGCATGTCACATATGATTTAATCAAGGTAACTAAAAATAAAAAGAGCAACGCACTGTTTTAAACAAAAACATGTCCAGATAAAAAATGCATGTTCAATGAGAAGCCTGACACTTAGACTCACTGACAATTTGTTTAATGTTTGGAGTATAATTTGATACCCCCATTCGAATACAATTATCCAAATGTTCATCTGTAAGTCGATTACGGTATTTGTTTTCAATAAACTTCACACAAATAGGTTGAACTAAATAACGCTTTCACTTCCAAGGCAACACGACATAAAACTGAATATTTAGCTTTACTTACTGAAGGCCAGATATATTGCATATCAATTTCCATGAAGGGTAAAACAACAAATTGCGCCACTATAGCAATTTCGTTGAAACTCTTGAAACGATTTTTGAAGTTATCCCTCAAGTTAAAGACTATTTTTACATGATATTTACTGTTATATGGTTCTAATGGACTTTGAGACTTATTTTCTGAAAGAACAGGAAAATGCTTGGTATCGACATCGATTAAGTTTTGTTCCCAAAACTCAAGCTTTTTCATAGACAGTTTGATATCAGAAATCATTTCTGCTAGTTCTTTGTCTCTCCCTTGAAGCAGCAAATTAAGTTCATTCAATTTTTCTGAAAAATACCCACAAGAAAACCAAAATCTCTAAGCCAGATTGAATTTTCCAGTTTCGGAATCGGTTAATCACGTTGTTTGAAAAATTGAATTATGGCAGATATGATATCATTAAAACGTTTCAGCACTCGTCCCTTACTAAACCATACCACCATCGGACTTCAGAGTGAAGAAGTAGTTTCCCGTATTAACAGTCAATTTCATCGGCCAAGGTTTTGTATAATCTTCTTTGTAACGCTTGAGCTCTAATCTTGTTCACAATTTTCACTTCCAATTTCATAGCGTTGTTTAGTTTTAAAAAATGTCCACATAATGCTTGCTGATGGATAATGCAGGGGTAACAGAGAAATTGCGGAAAACTTTCATCTTTACGACATAACCCCATCGGTTGTCAAGCCCACCATTTCCGATATTGCAATTTTCTCAGAAGAAATAACATTTTTAAAGGAAGTAAACATGTCGATCCCAGTAGTCTGTCCTTTTAGTGGGATAAACTTAAAAAGATTTTCTTTAATCGTCAAATCACTAAAAACCATCCTGACAAACAAGGTCATCTGAGAGGTGTCAACGACATCTGTGGATTCATCCAGCTGCAGTGAAAAATAAGCACTGTTATCGAAGTCATTTCTTAACTGTTCAAATATATCATTGCTCATTACTTCTACTCGTCTCATCACTGTATGAGTAGAAAGTTGCATGGATTTTATAGCAGACACAATCCCGTCTTTATTTCTAAAGTTGGCAAATAATGAATTTGCAGCTTCTAAAAACGCCTGTTTTATCATCTGGGACGCACGGTATGATGCTTCAGTTGCAGCCTTACTTTTGTCGATTGTTTCTAAAAACATTATCTGTTGTCCAATTCACATTTGTTTTAGTTTTTCCGTTCTGGTTGCAGAACGTAATGGAAGTGATTTTTCAAAATTCGAATGTACAGTTTTATAGTGCCAGTAGTACATAACACACATACATTTTTACCTTACTTCTGTAAAGAAATATTGTTCTTTCCATTCCAAACGGAAATGGTATGTCTTCTTCTTCTTACTACTGCTCATAATGTCTTTAATTGCATGCCAACTCTAACTCAAGCGCTGGACTTTGTGCTCTTCAGTTTTAAACTGAGCGCACTGTCGCTGCGCCTTGCGTATTTATTTCGTTCAAAGTAATCGAGATCGTTCTCGAACAGATCGCTCACCGCAGTGCTGCCGGTGCTTGTGTTTGTTATGAGAATTTACAAAATTCACGGAAGCTTCTATGATTTTTACACCTTTCTCAAATATGTTGTGAGTTACCAGAATTGCCTTTGCGAGCTACCGGTAGCTGTGGCGACCACTGATCCAAGGTATGGTGCCCTGTACAGTCCGCCTATGGTATACCAAATCCTCGCGACAACACAGATCGTGCAGCAGGGATAACAACTCTACTACCTTTTTTTATCTACTCAAATAAAATACTATCACCCACCTGATGCTTTGTTGCGTCCTAGCACGAGACTCGTTGACGCTATTTTTGTACAGCTTATTATTTTTCGACTCCCAGTGTGAGATAATCACATGCTGCCTCTCCGCTTCCATTCCGAGTCCTAATAAATGTGAATCGATCTCCATCAGTTTCCTTCTCAGCTTCATCTGCGTTTTGAATGTATCCACAATCTGCTCTCTGATTTTCTTTACCTCATCACACCTGTAAATCAATACAATGTAGTTTCAATGAGCTGATGTGCAGATTTCTACTGTAGAAGATGCTCACTAATGCTTTATCCACTACCTATCCACATCATTTATAGACGTAAAATCCACAAAGGCTATAGGCGAAACTGCCCGCAAAGGTATGCAAATCTGGATCAATCTATATTAAGGCATATTGGGTCAAATCATCTTAGCTACACTTTTAGATCAATACCTCAAAGACGTGATATTTTGAAAATATTTTTTTAGGGCGCAATTGAACTAAACATTTTTTGCATAAAATCACCGATGCTACATAATTAAATGTCGTGATTTTTTACGCATTTAAGGATTTGGGGAGTTTTTTTTAATTTTTGGTCAGGTAAATGGAACAGCTGAAAAATCGCCAAAAATCGGAAAAACTGCATCTTCACCGATTTTTTCCGATTATTAACATAACATAAGTTGAATTACTCACAAACCCAATGTACTTATTCATTTTTATTCATTCTTTTAGGTTTCACGATCAAATTTTTTTGTTTCCCGGAAATTGTGAAAATAGGAAAAATCGCATTTTCCCTGGTTTTATTCAATGTTTGACGCTTTCGTATTGTATTATAAATTGGCAAAACGGCATTTTCACAGACTCTTCCAATTTTAGGTATTTTTAGAGTAGAGTCTCATGAATCGGCTAACTCAAAAGCTAAATGCGCGTATGTACTTTAATGCATTTTATCAGGTTTAATTGTCAAAATTGTAATTTGTTGTCTGGAAAATTGCGAAGATGGGAAAACCCTATTTTCGATGATTTTCTTCCATGTTTGACATTTCAGGTAAGTAAATAAACACACATAGTAGTGATTTGAGTTTTTGGGTTAGCGGAGTTACGATATCCTTCAGCGTATCATACATGTCTAAAATTGGAAAAGTCGGTGAAAATGAGATTTTTCGGATGAGTGTCGATTTCCTGGCCAAAAGTTGTTGTTAGTGCATCTGGAAACAACGCGAGAAAGCGCTGATATACAGTGGCTATTTAAGTTTACGAAATTTTCATTAGGTACCTAACCAAAAAGTCGAAAGAAAAAAATGTTTATTGAACATATAGGTTCCATGAAAAAATCAGGATTGCGTTGAATATAATAATGTACCAATGATGATTTTTCAAAATATTTTGAGCAGAATTGCGCCCGTAAAAAACTACTTTCTTGAAAACACGTTTTTGAGATTAAGGGCCCTGGGAGTGACATATCGATCTGAAAATTTGGCTAAGGTGGTTAGACTCAACATACCTTAATTTGGATCAATACAGATTTGGATACCTTTGGGAGCAATTGTCGTAATGTAGTTTCGCCTACAGCCTTTCTGACCTCCACCCCATACCTTCATCCTAATGAGCCCTAATGGAGGTAAAATGACAATGGATAGGCAGCACCCGTCACCCAATTGTTTTTGAGGGATTCAAATTAGCAAGCTGAAATATTCGACACGATGGGATTGATACACGAATGCCATGAAAGTGGCAGTTGAAAATTTCAAGATTACGGCTGTGCGCCTCTTTGAAATATTTTTCTAAGTAGAGTGGGTAGTCATATGATAGCTATTTTAGAGCCTCCTGTCAACACCTATAATTCTAGAATGGAAGGGATTTTCAGAAAATCGAATAAAATATGGAACAATGGAATTTTACATATTTTATGACATATTCGGATAGATCCTTCCAAACAACAAAACTGATAGATATCACATGCCGTTTTAATGATGAGTTTTTGAATTACAAGGTTTAATAGTGCAAAAACGCTCAAATGTGGCAGTCAGTCATTTCAAATGAGAGTGAATTTAAATCTTAGGGTTTTAAAGTACTCATAACGAGCTTCGAACCCACTTATTATAATATGACCCGTATTCCATTTAAAGAAATGCTTCAGGATGACGCTCAGCCGCCATCTTGAAATTTTGAGCTTGCTATTCTAAACTAAAATATATCATTTATGCATCTTCCCGAATTTCGATTTGCTAACTTGACACATTCAAAAAATAAGTGGGGGCACTGTATAGGTGAGGTTCACTGCTAAAGTTGTGTCCTATTGAGCAGCCTTAATTAGGACTAAGCGGTATTGTTTACTGCTGGTTGAGATAGTCAATATTGAACAAAATAATGCACAAACCTTTCTTCTGCATTCATTCTATTGATGTCCGCACTCCTGGGCCTTTCTTCTTTCATTTTGTTCTGCAATCTGGAAATCTCATCTTTCAGTTCATTGATGACAGTCTGATACTGGGAGACGTGATAAGATACATCCAGGACATTTCTTTCAATCTTGTTAGTGATGTTGTTGGCTCTATCAGCGTAAAGAAGAGTGTTCCTGGATTCGTCTTTTTGAGTTATGCTAGGTGAGACGTGAGCTATCATCACTGTCTTGCAGTTACCGCTGAGTGCTTCTTTCAAAAGCCTGGTGAGCTTGGAGTCTCTATAGTTTACATATCTGAAACACAATAAGTATTTTTGTCACCTTACGTCCCAGGAATTTCCGAATAAAGTATTGCAAGTAGTAAGTACATTTTTTGTTTAATTATCGGCGTTCCTGACATTCTGCGTTTTTAGTAACCACTAATAAAGATTGGTGTTAGACATAATCAACAAACAACAAGAATTTAAATTTCCTATTTACCTTTGTGTCTATAGCTCATTCATGAACTGACATTTCAAAACAAGATACAAAACGCTATCAAACCGAGAAGTTCAGAAGGACAAAATTTTCTAGGTTCAATCCCACAGCTCGGTGTAAATTCGGATTTTTTTTAAAATGATTCTAGGATTATGAATTATGATTTGCTGCACAACTTACACCGATGTTTCGGTGAAGAAATTGATTCAATATCTGTCGGTTAATTTAGTAGTCAGGAGGACCTGGAAATGGATCATTTATAATTTGACTTTTTCTTATACCCTAGATTATTCCATGATGTTGACATTCTAGGGACAAATTAGCGGTCGTACCCGCCAGTTCTGGATGTACGAAGTTCGATGTGGTTAGCATGGGCGACCGAAGTCAGGGCGGTCTGTCTGGCCGGCTCGACGTGCGGCGGCATCAGTAGGACATACCTCCTCTGAACAGCACTAAGCATGGATAATGTAGCTGGCGCGTCAAAACGCCAGATTTGTGAGCAGTACTCGAGGTTAGGTCTTATTTGGCTCTTGAATAGAGTGAGGAGGTTATGTGCAGAAAAGTACTTGTTAGCTCTAAACAAAGAAACTAGCCTTTTATCGGCAGCTATTGCAGTTGAAGAGATGTCTTCGTGCCAAATCAAGCCCTCGGTGATCTAGTTATGAGGAGAAAAGTACATTTTGCCCTAAACCAGTAGCCTAATTTTTTCCCAGTAGCTGCGCGATTCAACTTCAAATAATTTACTGTTTTGTTGATTAGTTTGACAACTACGCTTGCGTAGACGGTGTAGTTAATTGAGAGAAAAAAAAATCTATGGCAGTCAACTTTTCCATTCGTCGATGAAAAACAAAAAGAATAAGATACGATGGAACTGGAAAAATTTTTCATATAACGGTTAGCAGATTATTTAAAAAGAAATGAATCGTAGGAACTGTGGAACGGCTGAACTGGCTAGATATTGGAATACTCAGAACGGTAGCATCTGAGTACTGAATATGAATTTGAAAAACAGTCAGCCGCAAACTTAATTTGGAAAAGGTTGTATAGTGTATATTTATGTATATTTTACATCTCACCTTGCACCCCCACTAAGTGCATTGATACAATTTCCTAAAGCCAGAAGTGACCTGTTGATATGTGCACCTTCCTGCAACCTTTTTCCTCGATTCTTGGTTTTGTTTGCCCTTTCGGATCCAGCCAAATCGATCATGAATAGTCTTCCTTGTCTAACTCTCATCCGAAGATGATCTTTTTTATCTACTGGTACCGAATGACGCACTGTGACGCTGAGCAGTGCGTGACTGCGGGACGAAGTGCGGTTCATTGCTGTAGGTTCCACCGTGCGGGCTTTGTTACCCTTCTGTAATAGTTGCATTACCTAGAACAAAAAAATGGAATCAAGTACGTTGACACTCTACATGCAATTTTAAGCCAGCGGCCGATCAAGTATTACGTAAGCAGATTGTTTACAATTATTAACTCCTCCTTGTCACCAAAAGTAAGCCCATGCTTACTTAAACATTTTGGTACATTTTACAATTTGAAGCAAGTGTTGGCTTTCACGCAATTATTTTGAATACCATTTAATGTTTGGAAAGTGAGGAAGATCTAGCTCGTCCGACCCAACATACTTTGCTAACAGGATAACCACCAATTTCCATTAAACTCCATACCTCTGCTGATACATTTTCGGAAAACTCGAAATTGAAGAGACCCAAAATGGACATGGGGCGATTTCAAACCAGCCAATTCCCAGCTAAGAGTACTCACTCTGCAGTCTACTTATCACCTATACGTAACTCTACCATCAGCATTTGTACCTAAGGTTTCAAGCGAGTGAGTATTTCCATATATAGGGAATCTCTAATGATGTGTATCGTTTTGGAGCATACAGGGTTTGTCCGGAAAGTAATAGGACTCATTTTCATCCGCCATAGCTGTACTTCGGAGCGTGCGCGCACCGACTGGATTCGGTAGAGGGCGTTCCTAGGTAACGAATGAGCGGCTAGTCAATTGTCTCCGAGCTCTTGGAGAGTCAGGACAGGCATTTTCGGGTGACGTGTTTCTGTGAGTGGTGCAAGCCGAAAATGCAGCGTTCGTTAGAGCAGAGGTACGCGATTAAATTTTGTGTGAAACTCGGTAAATCTGCGACAGAGACGTTTGATATGATCAAGCAGGCTTACCCAGGTGTTGCATTAGCAAGAAGTGGTGTGTTTCGGTGGCAGGCCTTTTTGGAGGGCCGGGAAGAGGTCGTTGATGAAGACCGTGCTGGAAGACCTTCGACTTCGACAAACACCGATAATGTGACTCGTGTGCGCAAAGCTTTGAACTCAGACCGTCGACTAAGTATTCGTTTAATTGCCCAGATGTTAAATTTACCAAAATCTGTGGTTCATGACATTGTGACACAGCATTTGAACATGCGCAAGGTGTGCGCGAAGATGGTCCCAAAAGTTCTCACTGACGACCAGAAATTGCGGCGAGTGGTAGTGTGCCAAGAAAATTTGAACATGTGTGAAAGAAACCCCCAATTTTTAAATAACTTAATCACAGGTGACGAGTCGTGGATCTTTGAGTATGATCCCGAGACAAAGAGGCAATCTTCGGAGTGGCACACAACGGCGTCTCCTCGCCCAAAAAAGGGAAGAATGAGCAAATCCAAAGTGAAAACGATGCTCATTGGCAAACCGCCAACGCCAAGTTTTACGTGGAAGTGCTCAGGAGACTCAAACGGAGGGTCAGTAGGGTCCTACAAGACATCGCAGCCGGCTGGAAGTTGCACCAAGACAACGCCCTGGCTCACACCGCCTTTAATGTGAACAGCTACCTGACCAAGGCCGGCATCCCAACGCTTCCGCAGCCGCCCTACAGCCCAGATGTGACCCCTGGACTTTTTTTTGTTTCTCGCCTGAAAAGACCGATGAAAGGCAAGCATTTTGAGACGACAGAGGGGATCCAAGCAGCATGCACCGCGGCTCTCAAGGCCATTCCGGAGAATGCCTTCCGTGACGCCTTCAATGCTTGGAAATCGCGCTGGCAATTTTTTTAACTCGACTCAGTCCTATTACTTTCCGGACAAACCCTGTAGACACGCAGTATTGCCATATGAGTTCAAATCAAAATAAAAAAAGTAAATAAAATAATACTGCTGACGTAATCACCATCAAGACCCACCATCTCCCATGCCATCATAAGCAAAGCGAAGACTCCTGGCCCCTTAGTGGTTCTGAATGGTCCCCATGTAGATTATGATTAAAAAAACCGGTCTCAGCAATTAAATCAGTCATTACAAAAACCACATGTCATATTTTTTTGTTAATAAAATTAATAACTTATTCTTACCATGATTTTTGTGGCTGAATACGCTGGGTACAATCCACGTTACGTTTTCAAATAATACTGCGTAATAGACGATATAAGCAACATAAGTCAGTGATTGTAATATCTGAAACTTCTGTAGATATCTCGCTGATCAATCTCGATACTTTGCTGGACGCAGAATGAAGCGTCAGGCGTAGAAGTCAAGGCTTACTAACACCACATTTTCCAAAGTACAATAATATTGTTATTGTTATTTTTAACTGGATCGGTCAATTTTCAATAAGAAGCAATAAAACATGATGCATATAATCATTTTGCCTAAAGTAATCACTAACCCACTTCTTACTAAAACAACAGTTTCACATACTTTTTTCATCTCCATCTCAATATTTCAATCTGTATGTACTAATATTATATTAAGTCCAAAAAAGTTATTCCAAACTCGTTTATTTGTGAATTACACAGTTTATAAAGATTCGTGAAAAATGCAGGTTTTGTGACTTGATAAGGTTTTTGAAATAATTATTTCAATAGCATACAAATGTAAAGTTGACGTACTTGACACAGACTGAATAATTCAAACACAACTCACTCAGTACCTCTTCGTAGAAACTGATCGCATTGCTACGAATAAACACCTTTCACATTATACGAGTATATTGTAAACAGTTTACTTAAAATAGAAATAATTTGACAAATTTCAAGGTTCCACCCCCAAACAATGTACGTGTGAAATAAAGTGATAAATGATCCTATAGCTGTGACACCTGCGTAGAAGAATAATTCCCCCCCTGCTATTTATTATTACGGATACTTTCATTATGCGCCATTACCCTTCAAATAGACCTAATTAGTCATTCCACACGGAAAAACTAACCCATAAGCCCAAAATGCGTAGTATTAAGCTATATGTCAAACAATGTAATATTTTGAAGGCAATATTATATGTAATTGTAGGGTTGTTTAATGTTGCGTACATAAGTAAGTAAGTAAGTCTTATTTCCACTACTGTTAATCGGTAATCATTATTACCGGGAATATATGAAAAGGAATAATCAATCTTACGATTTTCCTACGACGCGACGGCTGGTATTTATTTTCTTGATTAAATTTTTTTTTTGACGATATTTAGTAGTAATGCAAGTAAGCTGATATAATTTTTACTAAAGTCAAAGATTAAGCCTTCAGCTAAACACTGCAGGCATTCAACACTGGTAAAGTAACGGGCCACTCATATTTTTTTTTTGTTTGAGCACAATAAAATACCGTGGAAGGATGTTTTAGATGCCGCTGTAATCAATAAGAACATTTCATAGAAATTATAATCGACTATGCTCAACAAGCACAACGTCTTTTTCAATGTTTAAGATAATTGGAAGGTAATATTGACGCAGTGAAACTTTTTTCAACATTAGTAAGCTAGTGCTGTCACTTTTATAGATAGTATGCAAGTAGAATCACGTAATTATGTCCTGTCGAATGATTTGAAGTGATAGATATTTCTGTCCATATTCTTAGGATCTAATTAGACTTTGTAGATAGTGTTCAGTTCTTTCCAAAATGTCACTTCTATCGCTGTTAACCTGGTTTTTATCCACGGAGGTAAAAAATCGATGGAATGCTGAACTTACAAATTTATAGAACTAATCGTAGACCATCCTATAGTTCTGCCGGCTTGCTTATCTTGCCTATAAAAGCGTCTAACACCGGTTTTTTCAATTGTAGATATTATCTTCTATTGTATAATTGTCATCGATGGCCAATTAGGTATTTTCTCAATTACTATGGAACTTGACGCGAAACTAGTTGGGCATATATGTCAAACCTTTCTTATAAAATTCTACATTCGATGGAATGCTACATTTACATACAAATCTATGATTTTGTATTTTATTAAATGTTGAGTCAGCTAATGAGAATCGCCATTTCTTATACGGGGTGCGTCATCTATTACTTTTTTTTCTATTTGAAAAATCAACACGCTTTTTACGAGGTGAAATCGATTTTTTTTTATTGATAAATGAAGGTTGGTTTATGCCATTTATGTATGAAAAATAACATCAGTCATATGACCACCGCGGCCAACTGACATCTGAATTTCGTGAAATTATGCGGTCTTAAAATTTCGTGTGCAATAAGGCGATTGTTTGGCGAGATGTGTGAGCCGTTGCTCCGTCTTGACGAAACCAAAGATCATCGGCACCAATAGGATCCAATTGTGGCCACAAAAAGTCTGTTAACATGCCGCGATGACGTTCCCCGTTGACGGTAATGGCCTTTTCTTCGGCATCTTCAAAGAAGAATGGTCCAACGATGCCACCAGCCCATAATCCGCACCAAACAGTCACTTTTTCAGGATGGAGAGGTTGTTCATGATGTTGGTGTGGATTTTCAGCCCCTCAGAATCTGCAAGTTTGCTTATTTACGTACCCATTGAGGTGAAAATGAGCCTCATCAGAAAAGAGCACTTTGGCCGAAAATCCGTCTTCTCTTTCCAGCATCCAATTAACAAAAACACGCCGCTGTTGATGGTCTGCCGGCTTCAATTCTTGTGCTAGTTGGATTTTGTATGGATGGAGGTGTAAATCAATGTGTAAAATCCGGCGAAAAGTGGTCTTAATAATTCCCAATTGTTGCGAACGGTACCTAGTCGAGGTGGTTCGATCTTCTCGCACACTTTCACTCACTGCGCCTATGTTTTCACGAGTACGAGCTGGACGAGCATGTTGGTATGGTCTACGACCTTCAGCTGAACCAGTTTCCTCAAAACGATTGACATTCCAACAAATTTCAGGCTCTGTAGGGCGCCCATGTCGGCCAACACTAGCGCGAAGTTTGCGAAAAGTATTTCTTATATTTCGACCGTTTTCGTAAGTTTAGATAACCAAAATGACGTGTGTTGTAAACGAATCCATGACTATAAATGGCATACCTTTGACAGTTCATTTATGCATACCATATGACTTTTGACTCACATGATAACACATAAAATTATGGGTAAAAAAGTAATAGATGGCGCACCCAGTATTTGTAGAGCGGCTCTGAAAAACCTTCACAAAACTAACGCACCAACAAAGATTAACCAAAGCTTAGTACATTTCTGTCAAACCGCCGATTTGAATTGTCGGTTTTTTGAGTTTACAGTAGGTATTTATACAGCGAATGATTTTTGCATAAATTTTGCACTTAATGTAAATCATAAAATACACCTTAAATTGATCAGAAAGTTGAAATCACCCAAATAGACTTAGTATTTTTTTAAATATTGTAATCCGAAGACGTACTGCCGCACTAAATTTTTTGTCTGCTTGGTCACTACATATTGAACATCCATGGAAACAATAACATCTTACAGGGATACTTTATTCCATAAATACCTAATTCGTACATGAATAATTTACTCATAATACCATGACCTAGTTTCTTTTTTGATTTATCTTAACTGTAACGTATTCCCTTCCTCAGGATGCCGATGTTACGTCTAATTTAAGTGACCATATGGAATAATGAATTAATTTTACTTCCCTGTAAATCAAATAAACAGTACCTACTTAAAGTAAGCGTAGTCTAAGTACTTTTATTAGCCTGATATAAGAATTGTGGTTGAATAAATGATAAATTAAATGAAAAACTAGGCAATTAATATGGAAAGATAGTTGTTGTCTCAGTGGGAGCGACTACAGATCAACAAATAAAAACTAAATAATGATATTAAAACAGGCGTTTTCATGTACAAAATTAGATATTTATGGACTGTAGAAGCTGTGGTTTAAGCACAGAACTGTAAGAAGTAGTTATTGGTTGTGGTGACTAAATACGAGTAGATAATTATACAATATTTGAGAATTTTTATAAATAACCAGATAACTCGATTACACTGGTATAAGCCTTATATTAAAAGACAGCTTATAAAAAGGTGTGAGAATATTCAAAGTGTTCCATTAGAAGTTTTGAGAACAATATTTTGGGTATTGTACCATCCTGTTTAAACAGATCATGCTATCGGAATTTTGCGCGGTGCAGCTTAAAGTTGGTATATTTTTCCATCTACTCTCTGAAATTCATTGGAAAGATGCGCAAAATGGAGGACGTCAAAGGCCTCGAATGTAGGCATTTTAAGATAACTAATCAAATGACGATCAAAACCCTATCTTGTACAGTGTGTCCAATACCTATGAGAGCTACAGCTTAGGTTAAATTAGGAAAAAGCTGCGTTCTTTGTGACGTATTTACATGCCGTTGAAACTTGTAAAAATTGTATGGCTTACTGGCTTGGTAAGGTCTTTAAAAATGCCTAGTGAAATATGTTGTATTAAAAAACATGTTTCTGTGTGTAGAAATATACACCTATGAGATATCAATATGGCTGTGAAAACATTTTTCGTAGTTTTTCTATGAAAATACCTTCCATTTTTGTTGGAACACCCTGTCCAAAATCACGTAGAAGAACGACTAAAACTACTAAAACGCGATTACATTGTATATGAATCAAGAACTGATGCTATTTAACTGTGCATCTCTGTACATTATAATTTTCAAACCAATTATTTGAAAAAAGAATTAATGCAATCGTGAAAGTCATTATCAATCAAACTGTACCTCTAGTAACGTGATAATTATATAGGAAAATGTAGTTGAACCGCGTGGAAATAGCCGCAATTGTTTACATTGATAATAAACCTAGATACGGAATATCTCGCACTTACATAAAGCATTACAAAAGGCAAATATATTTGATAATCAAACATTTTCATTTGATGGGCATGTTTGAAAATGAAGGAAGATTACAGTGATAATGGAATACACATTGATTTTTCTATCGATAAATACTTATTCTAGTTTAAATTATGAATTAGAGCCATTAGAGTTTGATTGCTTACAAATCCGCAGTTAGGAAATGTTCTCTATATCCTTTTCAACATAAGATGAGGGTTCACGAATAAAGTATTGTCATTTAGTATTCAAGAATTCTACTCAAATGAGCCAATGAGGAAGTATGATCTTTTGATATAACAAGGATTTTTTTGCGATAACATATTGAAAAAAATATCTTACACAGTTTAATGCTGGCCGAGTTCTGCCAAAGAGCCGTCTACATCACTTGACTGCAACTCCTCTTGAATTGAAATGTAAGTTACTAATGCGACATCAGTTTTCCTATGGTTTCTTCGATTGAGCTGGCGTTAGGAAAGCCTGACAGCCGAATTTAAGTGTGCGCTGGATCCGCCACACTTTTTGCGATGGTCATCTGATTATTCAGTAGATTTGATCCATTTGTATTCTTTTCTCCGAAGTATGACGTTTTGTGCTTCTATGTTAGCTTTCTGTGGAAGTGTATACACTAGAGGCAGACTCACGCAACTGATCTGTGAGTGTAGCGATTTCTAATCGCTTCAAATTTGAATAGCCTCTCTTCCCTGGCGAGTGATCTTTGTGTGTACAAGATATTGTTGGATGGTTCCTCATCCTATAATTCACAAATCATCGATATTTACCGTTAAGCAAGGTTTGTGAAAAGGCTTATTTTAGAAGGACGCTAGATTTAAAAATTTTGTGCATAAAAGAGAATAACTTTGTGGCATTCTGGTTATGTTATTTTATTGTATATGGAATCTTTTAAATGATCATTGGATACGTTGACGTGGGTAGAAACTATGACATGTTCAAGCTCAGCACTCAAACACCACAGATTATTTCCCAAACTACTTTTCAAAATTAAGTGCAAAATTGGAGAATACTCAAGTTTCGCATTCTAGCTGGAATTCTTTTTTAAATGACTTTTGTAGATCCTTGCGAACCATGATAAAGTGGTCTTTGAATAGCCCAAAAAATACCTTTTCAAGTTTTTATCTGCGTTTTATAAGCTCTTTGAATAATTTAAATAAAACTTGAGTTAGTTGTTATCTTCAGCATATCGATTAGCAAACCCACATTTTTCTTCCTTGTTTGTTCAGCATTTGCGTGAACAAACGGCTTGACGTGAATGTTAAGGTGAAGGTTACGATTCATTTGCCATGAGCTGACCTCCAAGAATTAATCACTTAATGGAATGATAAAATCTTTTCCATTCCTACCCCGGTCCTGGATTGCCCGAACGCCTTCTCAAGGAGACTATTTTTAATCAGTTCAATTGATTTATTAACGTAGCAGGTTACGTATTGCATGTTGTGGTGGTTATAAGAATAGACAGCTGGTATATTATCTCGAAATGTAATAAGGTATAGTAAGCCTCGGATACCACCAAAACTTGATAAAACTACAGAACATGAGACAATATTTAATGACTTAAAATGTTTTGACTGGTTTACTACGAATCTGAGCTCAAAAATACTTTGGCATCCTGAGCTCTCAGGATATTGTAACTCTAATACGACATGGACATGTCAAAAGTCACCGATTTACATTTAAAGCTTCTCAATCTTGAAAAATCTGTATAAAAAGAATATGATACGTTGAGCTGACATGCAAGACAACACTCCCCTCTATCCATCTGTATATAGATAAATCAGCCAATAAACGGAACCACATATGTTGAAGAAATTACTAACCTTTCAGTAGTCATTTTTTAAGCTTTTTCAAAAACATCATTTCTCATTGAATTACATCCAGCATTTTTATTATGATTGCTCGTGAGCTTTACAAAGTAATATACCAAAATCGTTGTTTTTAGCTTAAAAACCTCCACGGAACATCGGACAACCAATTAATGAACGTGTTTTCCATGGTCCGAGTACAATTGACTAACGTATTGTTACCATGAAAAATACGTTAATCAATGATATAAAACGTGTGCTTGAAAGAGTTCGGAGGTCTATCAAGACTGAAACCTTACGTTATCCCTGTAGGTAGTCAATTTTGGTAAAATGAGAAGGTTCAAATGTTTTTGATAATAAACAGTGTTTTCTGAAACCGAAGAATCGCCCAATGTTTTCGAAAAATTCTGTATAAATGCAATACTGTATCAAAGAATACTTCGTTTACACATTTTTGATTTAACTGACGCCACGGTTAACTGAGAGTCTAAATCTTACCTCGTCTGTTGACGTGGTTGATATTTCTGATAATCCAGCAACTTGTATACTCTTGCCTCTGGAATCCTCTCTCAACTCCAGGTATCCTGATTGTGGATTAAGAAGATCTCGGATTTGTTCGTTGTAGATTTCCAAATACGACATGGAAACCTGTAATAAATGAAATAATCGATTGAAAAAGTTTTGGAAAGGTACATATTATGGTTGCCCATTTGGTGACATATCGAATATCAGGTCTAAATGGACAAAAGATAGGAGTTTGTGTTGGAGTTGCTATGGAAAAATGATGTGGCACATTAGCCCAACACTCCATCCATACATTAATCTAGCACAGTCCTCAAAGTACGTCTACACGTCATCGAAAAACATATTGAAACTTGTCTATTTTTCCTTACACTGGTAGATTACCAGAAGCATAGTGATCAAAATATAGAAAAGGGAGTATGGTAATCGTGAAAATTGGAATTCAGTTCCTTTGATGCTTTATGAATCTACATCACTGCGGCTGCTGCTTTGTGCACAAGTTGCTAGCTGGCTGGAGTGACTGAGATGAAATAGTACGGAGTATGGATCTTATGCTTGTATCGCCTAGTCTTTGTTGCCGAATCAAATACATAACTTGAAGGTTTCACTACATAAATCATGACCATTTCGCATTAAAGGGACCGAATCTCGTTGATGCAACGTTGGATTTCAATGCACGGGTATCTGTGGACTTTCTGCCTACATTGCCTACTATTGATGCGGATAAAATGTTATTTCATAGCCAGTGGAACAATTCAGCTGCTGAATGAGAAACTTCCTGGTGGTATGGTATACCTCTCGTTTCGGGGATTAAAATTAACCTCTAGAACCATGGAATTTAACCAAAATGTATTTTTTTAAAAGAGTTATTAAAAGCCAACTGTCTATGTCAACGCATTTATGAAAAATTATCATGGGAACTTTGGCAAAATCGTAAGAATGAGCCGCAAAAGCCGAGGCGGCCATAAGCTAGAGTTGGTATTCCATACACAATCCTACCCTGCATACCAACATTGTGATCTAAAGAAGAAAAATATGTTTTTTATTTAATTCAGGTTTTTCCTGAGAATTGAGTCACGCTCTATTAGTATTACCTACATAATATGTAAATTTTTTCGTAATACAATAATTTACCTAACTATTCAGAACAACCTCAGAAATAATATGGATTCCAACCCCCAACATTGCGCAGTAAATTGCTGCTTTCGTGTTGATAGCTGTAATTAAAATAATGAAGCAAAATGTATAATTCTAGCATGTTACTGCAAAGTTTCTGTTTTGTGTCCTCACTAAGCATAATAAAACAGCGGGCAGGTTACCACAATTTTCTTCAATCATCGTAATTATGAAGTTGGGGAAGTGCTACATGTGTTCGTGTTAATAGGATCGTGGATGTGGTTCTTTGTAGATTGAGAAGATGATAATGCCATCATAAAAGGTTAAAGAAAAGTGAAATAAGAATTTTAATAGTCTACCAAAGATGCGTGTTTAGTTCCTTCTGAAGGAACTTAGTGGGGCGATCAGTGAGGAGATAAAATAAAACTTCACAATAAAGAATTTACCTGTTCCGCTGAAAATATCGAATTCTGTAAAATAAGAAAAATAGCGTTTACTTTTTATAAAATGTGCCCTGGTTCTTCTTAAATTTGGGCCCAGAAGCACATATAAAGCCTGTCGTTTCGTATCTGATGTGACAATGCAAAAATGTCTTATAAATATATTATATAAATATTATAAATTATTAAACTAAAGAAGAACTAAACGTTCATGTGATACCTAGCATACTTATGTTTAAAACGGAACACATTAAAGTTAAATGGTAACGTTTTTCGTGTGAATTTTGATTTGTTTAATATTGTTACTGGAAATATCGATATTGTAGCTTACAGTGGCGTTGCCAGGTCTAAAAATTCTAGTAACTGGTTCGGTCATACCATAATTGGTAGAATGATGTAGAATCGCAAAAATTTCTGTATAGCGAGTTCGTCTTTCATTAACATTAAGATTCTTTTGTGCAAGTATCTCATAGTACGTCATAGCAATAACTATTTTAAAATTTTTCTGTGGTGTTCAAAGGAGTCTATGTTCAACATACTCATCAGTTATGAAACATTCTGATTTTGTTGACCTTTTCCGTACTGTTATCTCACCCTGTGGAAGATACAGCTAAGGTTAAATTATGAAAATGTTGCGTTTTTTTGGGCGTATTTATATGCAGTTGAAACACTTGTAAAAATTTCATGGCTTACTGAGATATTTGGAAAAAACTATTTTTATTTTAAGAAATATCAAAAAACTAATGAAACTTTTTCATTAACACTGTTAATGCACTACACGATGGTGATTTTAAATTTTGTGCCTGACGGTTCGTTTTTGAGAACCCATCATCAACTTTTTATTTCTTTATATGGTCGAAAAAAGTACAGACTGCATCTCATAGCATTTTTTATATGAATTCAACGATATCACATGTTCACATTTATTTTCTTGGATGTAAGAAAACATCCGCTATTACTGATTTTTTTATTTTGCTCAAGTTTCCAACCAATTCTAAGAAAATGGACTTATTTGGCTGCCTTCTTAAGGCAAATTTATTAAGATACATTGCATTTTTCCTTATAACCAAAAAAATAAATGTAACCGGTGAATTCCTTTTAAAAATGCTGTGATATATAGTGTGTACTGTTTTTCGGGCCATATAAAAAGTATACTTGATGGTTTTTCAAAAACGAACGGTCAGGCACCAAATTTAAAAACACCATCATGTAGTGCCAATGAAAAAGTTTCATTAGTTTTTTGATATTTCCTCAAATAAAGTCATAAAAAACAATAACGATTTGGCCAAATTTAGTTTTTCTCAAAACCCCAGTATGCCGTGACATTTTAACAAGTTATTCAACGGCATATAAATATGCCGCAAAGAAAGTAGCTTTTTCCTTATTTAACCTAAAACTACATCTTCCTCAGGTATTGAGATCCTCATGCATAGGATCCTTATCTTAAACACCCTGTACGTACAGTTAACAACAGCAGCACGAGCTCCTTGGTCGTAGGATATTTCTGCACCGAGTACAAAAGTTGTTCAAAGTACTCACCAAAAGTACAGGAATATATGATACACTGGTTTTTTCAAACATAAAATATGCACCAGTGCACCACGAGTTTCACCAGAAGTAAATTTATCAGAAGAATATTCCCGTCGTCACTTCATCTAATGGCTTGTGTCCCAATAACACAGCTTCAGTCTGAGTGATAGAGCTCTTATCCACTATCATATTAACTTGTGGTGCAGTATTTCCTTCATATTATACGAGTATATAGTTATTATTAATATTTAATCCATAATGATATGAGAGATTTCCAGCATCAAATTCTATGAATAAAATATGCATACATTGCATTTTTCCTTATAACCAAAAAAATAAATGTAACCAGTGAATTCCTTTTAAAAATGCTGTGATATATAGTGTGTACTGTTTTTCGGACCATATAAAAAGTATACTTGATGGTTTTTCAAAAACGAACGGTCAGGCACCAAATTTAAAAACACCATCATGTAGTGCCAATGAAAAAGTTTCATTAGTTTTTTGATATTTCCTCAAATAAAGTCATAAAAAACAATAACGATTTGGCCAAATTTAGTTTTTCTCAAAACCCCAGTATGCCGTGACATTTTAACAAGTTATTCAACGGCATATAAATATGCCGCAAAGAAAGCAGCTTTTTCCTTATTTAACCTAAAACTACATCTTCCTCAGGTATTGAGATCCTCATGCATAGGATCCTTATCTTAAACACCCTGTACGTACAGTTAACAACAGCAGCACGAGCTCCTTGGTCGTAGGATATTTCTGCACCGAGTACAAAAGTTGTTCAAAGTACTCACCAAAAGTACAGGAATATATGATACACTGGTTTTTTCAAACATAAAATATGCACCAGTGCACCACGAGTTTCACCAGAAGTAAATTTATCAGAAGAATATTCCCGTCGTCACTTCATCTAATGGCTTGTGTCCCAATAACACAGCTTCAGTCTGAGTGATAGAGCTCTTATCCACTATCATATTAACTTGTGGTGCAGTATTTCCTTCATATTATACGAGTATATAGTTATTATTAATATTTAATCCATAATGATATGAGAGATTTCCAGCATCAAATTCTATGAATAAAATATGCATACATTGCATTTTTCCTTATAACCAAAAAAATAAATGTAACCAGTGAATTCCTTTTAAAAATGCTGTGATATATAGTGTGTACTGTTTTTCGGACCATATAAAAAGTATACTTGATGGTTTTTCAAAAACGAACGGTCAGGCACCAAATTTAAAAACACCATCATGTAGTGCCAATGAAAAAGTTTCATTAGTTTTTTGATATTTCCTCAAATAAAGTCATAAAAAACAATAACGATTTGGCCAAATTTAGTTTTTCTCAAAACCCCAGTATGCCGTGACATTTTAACAAGTTATTCAACGGCATATAAATATGCCGCAAAGAAAGCAGCTTTTTCCTTATTTAACCTAAAACTACATCTTCCTCAGGTATTGAGATCCTCATGCATAGGATCCTTATCTTAAACACCCTGTACGTACAGTTAACAACAGCAGCACGAGCTCCTTGGTCGTAGGATATTTCTGCACCGAGTACAAAAGTTGTTCAAAGTACTCACCAAAAGTACAGGAATATATGATACACTGGTTTTTTCAAACATAAAATATGCACCAGTGCACCACGAGTTTCACCAGAAGTAAATTTATCAGAAGAATATTCCCGTCGTCACTTCATCTAATGGCTTGTGTCCCAATAACACAGCTTCAGTCTGAGTGATAGAGCTCTTATCCACTATCATATTAACTTGTGGTGCAGTATTTCCTTCATATTATACGAGTATATAGTTATTATTAATATTTAATCCATAATGATATGAGAGATTTCCAGCATCAAATTCTATGAATAAAATATGTTCTGTTAGCCCATCAACAATCGATGCCAATAAGGGTATACGTTTATAAGAATATTATAATTTCACGTAAAATATAAATATTGAACAAAGTATGGATGGTCTACTTTACGTATCCATTATTGGTGTCAATGCCGGGGTCCTCGCAGGACTTGAAA